CCTCCCCCACCCATTTCAGCCAGAGCAGCTCCCCTACTCCTTGCTATACTTCCTCCGAAAATGGGGTTGTGCTACTTCTAGAAATACGATCTAGAAAACAATGAGCTTGATGATCTTTGAGGCCTGAAATTACATTAAGAACTACATAAGCAAGCCTTCTATGATCTATTATGGCACTTGTATCCTGTTACAGTATTTGTTTATATGTGTGTTTTCCAGATAACAGCTCATTTATCTTTTTCCCCTACTGCCCAACGCAAGGCACCAGAATATGAGGTATTCTCAAAAATCAAGGTATTCTCAAAGTGCAGATGACAAGGAAGACAGTTAAAAGTAAATGTCAGAGGGGCTGGCCCCGTGGCCGAGTGGTTAAGTTCGCGCGCTCCGCTGCAGGCGGCCCAGTGTTTCGTTGGTTCGAATCCTGGGCGCGGACATGGCACTGCTCGTCAGACCACGCTGAGGCAGCGTCCCACATGCCACAACTAGAGGAACCCACAACGAAGAATACACAACTATGTACCGCGGGCTTTGGGGAGAAAAAGGAAAAAATAAAATCTTTAAAAAAAAAAAAAAAAAAAAAAAAAAAAAAAAAAAAAAAAAAAGTAAATGTCAGAAATAAGAAAAACGTTTGGCTAGTCAGTAAGCATTTTTGAGCAGCATATTTACTGTAGAAATTTCTACTGACAGGGGGTGCTGGGTGAGATGAGTTTATGGGGGCACTAAGCATGTGATGCTTTGTGCTCAAATAATTCACTGTGTCATTTCTGAAGGAGAAATGTTGCATTGCATTGGTTTTAAACTGGCTTCCTTACATTCCAGATACAGGTACTGAGAACATACCTTTTAGATTTTGTTTTAAGGACTTTGAAAGTCTGAATAGGAGCAGAACACTGCCTTACTGGTTTTTTCAAAGAAATGTATAGGTAAAATTTTAACAGTCAAGGTAACACACACTTGCCAGCACTTCTCCACCCCATGCATGCACAAACCACCTGACATTTCCCAATGTCCACCTCTGTGAAAACCCTTTATTCCCCAGTTGGCTTTAGAGAAGGGATTTCGCAGCAGTGGTCTCTTCATGTTTGTTGCTCTAGGGAAGCAGGCAACCCAAAGAAGGCAATAGCTGTACAATCTCATAACAAGCCCACATCCTGTCTCTAAGCACATTTTGGAGGAAACACACCAAGGGATTAGGTTATCATTATCGTAAGGGGAAAAGCAAAATACTACAGTGATCACAATTTACTGAAAAGAAAAAACCAAACAGCAATTTGCCACTGTAAAACTGAGTAACATTCTGTTCCATGAGGCAGCACCCACAAACTACACAAATTAAAGATACATGAAGCAGATGGCTATAATTGTCAAGAATTATAATTGTCAAGAATTGTCCTCAGAATTGGTCAAACATTATCATCTCCGTTAATCATTATCAAGAAGAAATTCAAATAATCCAGAACATCTACTGTTGACTAAGGACATGATTAGGCAATAATTAACTTTAGGAAAAAAGAAGGTAGACAAAGAGAGAGCAACTGTCCAACAGCTTATAAGCCAAGAGCGAGCAGAGTCATGTGCTCCAGAGCTCTGAGAGGCACGCTCACCACTTTTTTTAAACCAAGCCCTACAGGGAAGGCCAATATATAAAGCAAGTACAGTGGAGCATGCAGAGTTGAAGTGGTAGTCGGGGCTGGGGACTCAGGCAGTCAGCTCCTCCAGTGCCCTTAGGAACTCTGAGCTCAGCTGAGTTTGCTGGCTGTGGCGTAGGGGAGCTAGGATACTCACTTTGAAATAGACAGCTCCCATTTTCCTCTGCATGTGCGAAGTGATGGCAGCTCTAGGCCCATCTCTTAGGCCTATATGTCCAAAGCAGCAGAAGAAAGCTGGTCCTAAATTAGCCACTGTTCCTGGACTTGCCCAGGGCTTGCCAGCGGCTGGGCCAGGGCTCCCTCTACTCTTTCATACCTTGTTTCCAATAGTCCAGCAGCTTCTTGAAAATGTCCTGACCTTCCAAAAAGCATGTGGTTTCTGTATCTTCAACTCACCCCATCCCCAACACTCTAACTCTGTGGACAGGTGCATACTCCAATCAGTCGCACTTAACTGAAAGGTCCCTGGGGGCAGATCTGGAGCCCCAGCCACACTAATCAGGGAGGGTGGTTTAGCTGCCCCATTCCTATTAACCAGATTAGATCATTGTGTGCATGGAAACAAGCACTCACACATGCCCCATGGCAGTTAGTGTTGAGTGGAAGGCTGTTGTTTACAAAGGAATCCTAGGGTTTCAGTCTCTAATCTTCTACCCACATACCTCCTCATCTGAAGATATAAATTCAAAGACATGCACTTCTGAAGATGAGTAGCAAGGGTGTTTGCCAGAATATAATAAATAGTCTTTTTGGGGTTGGAAATCCCTTTGAGAAGCCCTTGGAGACTCTCTCTCCAAGACAATCACATATAAAAAATGTTGCCTATCCCATTCCTGAGCAACCACAGGCCCCTCAAGTTCACCCATGTACTCAGAATTCAGGTTAAGAATCTCTGTATAACCAGTTATATTAACTGTTCCAATTACAGATTTCTCTCTCTCATTGCTGGCAAGAATTAACTGGTAATGGCGCTGCTTCTCAGCAGTGCAAAAACATCCTGAGAAATTATTCAGATTACAACAAAAGACAGAGCTTTCATCCAATGTTTTTGCACAAATAAACCAAACATAATAAATTAAGTTACAAAGCAGATAACCTTCACTATGTTGAACACAAAAGAAGATGCGACCCAAACCTCTTAATTCTCCCATTAATTACTATCAGAAAAAAAGACTGCATTAAAAGTCTATTTATAACTTTTTAGTCAACTATGGCCCATAACATATAAGGAGGTAATTTATAGTTCAAGTTTTTCATCTCTTTTCTCTCCAAGAAGTGACAAGCTGAATTCTAAATTTTACACTGAAATATATAATTCCAATTTTCAAAAATAACTTCCTCTTGGAGGAGTGATATTCCAGTTTTGGTGCAACCCTGATACAGAACCCAACCGTCCTAAATGGAGTCAGTTTTTTTTGTTTTTTAAAGATTTTATTTCTCCTTTTTCTCCCCAAAGCCCCCCAGCACATAGTTGTATATTTTTAGTTGTGGGTCCTCCTAGTTGTGGCATGTGGGACCCTGCCTCAGGATGGCTTGATGAGTGGTGCCATGTCTGCGCCCAGGATCCGAACTGGTGAAACAACCGGCCACCAAAGCAGAGCTCGCGAACTTAACCACTGGGCCATGGAGCTGGTCCCCAAGGGAGTCAGTTTTTAAAGGAAGCCCAAAAGATGAAGGTAGCCCAAAAGCCCCAGCTGTCTAGTTTTGCTTTTCAACAGACTCGACAAGGAGTGAGCTAAAGGTAACAAATGAATACCCTATTTTCTCTAACTCATTTTCTCTGTGGCATTGTCATTTCTAGCGTAGCTCATACTCCTGACTCTGGTGACTCACAGCATTTCACCTTACTGACCCAAGCAAAGGAAAAAAAGCAAATCAAGCAAGACAGCAGGGGAATCACAGATTTTCCTCTTCACATCCCCAGTTAGACGAGGTCACTCAACCAGTGTGCATTTCCAAAGCCCCTCGAATGCCCCCACCCTCACCAGTGTTGGCTTAGGTGCTGCATCTGAAATTTTGTCCAATTTCACCAAGTAAACTTGTAAACGCCCAAGTGAACTGCGAGCTCCTGATAAGCTCGTGATGTTTTGTCTTGGGATGTTTCTTGAAAAAAAAACTAATGAACAAAGCACGGATTTACTAATATATATTCCTTATCCCCCACCTCACAAAAGGAAAATCGTAATTTTTAACATGGGAGTTAAAATTTTAATCAGAACACACTGGTTAATGCCATACCAGAAATTCAAATAGACAAAACCAGTAAGTTTCCGTTTCCTTCTACTTAGGAGGAGAGTTTAGGGGGAAGAGGAAGACAGTTTAAGTAACAGAATCCATTTCCAATCCCTACAACTCTGTTCAGGAAAGAGCAGCGGATCCGGAGGCAGATGACCAAGACCATCTGCGCCGTCTTCCTGGTTGTGGGATGCAGGTCAAGTCACTGAATCGATTCTCCTCATTAAGCCCATCTTACAGGTGGGGAAACGTCCCACTCAGAGAATTTTGGAAGGGGCCGAGCGCGAGGGGGGCTTCCTGAACCGCGGAGCGCCGTTCGAGGTTCCTTGTTTTCAATCACGCTCCGCCTTGCCTGCTGCAGAGCCCTGAACGTTAACACGACGAGGGCCGACAGCCACCGGCCACGCAACGGGTTCATCAGAACCGAGGCAATCGGCGTGACCCAGACGGGCCCTGCGCCCTTGCCAGGCCAATACCTACATCCAGGGCCCGACAGGCGCCCTCCCTGCCCGGACAGACCGGCTGCCCCCGGCGTCGATCCCTCCCACTCTGCGCTCCGCACCGCGGCGGCCGCGGGCCCCTAGTGGAGTCACGACAGTGACTCAAAGGGCCCTTCCGACGGGGGTGAGTCACGAGCAAGGAGGGCAAAGGCCCGGCCCCCGCCCACAGCCCGCCACGCCGGGGCGACCTCCGACCCCGGGCAGGCCGGGTCCTCGCGGGCCACGGGGGACGGGCGCGCGGGCCGGGCGGTCGGAGGCTGCACCACCCCGCGCCGGGAACGCCAACGGCACGCGGCGACCCCGGGGTCACCTCGCCCGGCGCACTCTGGACGCCGGGAGGGGGCCCAATGGGGACCAGCGCGAACGGCGGCTCGGGCCTCCCCGGGCCTCGGAACGGTAGTCTAGGAAGCGGGGCCCCCTACGCCGGGCCCCCTCCCCCGCTTCCCCGCTTCCGGCCGCCCCCTGCCCCCCGCCCCGCCCCGCCCTCCAGGTCTCCCCGAGGCCGCGCCGGGGACGCAGTGGGCCGCGGCCCATCCAGCCCAGCTCCCCAGGGTCCGGGCCGGTCAGGTCCGCCGAAGAGCCCGCGGGAAGGCCCGACAGGGCGCGGGCCACTCACCGACCGCGAGTCCGCTCTGCCGTCCTTCACTCCCCGCGTCCCCGCGTCCGTCACCTTCTCCCTCAGGAGCCGCGGCCGCCGCAGCCGAGCGGGCGGGCGCGAGGGCGGCGGACGTGCGCACGCAGTGGGGGCGGGGCCTGCGGAGGACACGCCCCTGCGGCGGCGCGTGGCTGCCCCCTGGGAGTCCAGGTCCGCCGCGGAAGTAGGTTGCTCGGGCTGAGGGGTGGCATTCCTGAGAACTGGTGTTTATGAGGACGCCTCCGGGGTACGCGCTTCCCTGGCCCAATGTCACCGCCTAGTCAGGCTCATCTGGCGCGGGGCTCCACCTGCCCTTTCCGTTCCGCCACTCTGGCTTCCCGTCATTTTCTTAACCATCCGGCTGGCTACAGATTAAATGACTGGTCGTGTCCGGTGTTGACAAAGGTATGGGAAATATGCAGTGTTTGTGGGAGTTATGGGGAAGCGGGGGATAATTTAGCAACTCTCTTAAAGTGGGCATCTTCCTTGATCGAACAGTCTCACTTCTGGGTAGCTATTCTAGAGAAACACTTGCAAGAACCCAAAGAGACACAAACGAGGAAGGTCATTGCAACACCTAACAGGATACTCCCTTCGGTGAAAACCTTGAAACAACCTAAATGTCCATTAGAAGAGGATGGGGTGGGCGTGGACAGGGGCACATCCATTCAATAGTGTTGTGCCACAGTTAAAAAGGCAGAGCAGACACCTGAGGGAGGACATTAAATAGAAAGGGGGAAAAGCAAGCTGTAGGAAAATACAAAAATACATTAGAAAGTATGTAAATTAACCTAAAAAACAAATATTGAACTCTTAATAATGTGTACGCTGAAGTGTTTAAGGTTGAAGGGTACTAATGTCTGCAACTTACTTGAAATGCATCAAAAAATAAGATAGTTGATAGATGGATAGACATCTGATAAAGCAAATACAGCAAAATGTTAAGATTCCAAGAATCTAAGTGTTAAGTATATGAATGTCCACTATACAGTTCTTTCAACATTTCTGTATGTTTATAAACTTTTGTGGATGCGAATAATTCATAATCTATAAATCAAAATTGGGGTGAGTTTATTATGAGCCAACCCTAAGGATATATAACCCAAGAGAGTACCTTCACAAAGAAGTGGAGGGTACAGAGTGGTTATATACCGTCTTAGAACAAGGAGTATACATCACATATGATAGAAATGTCCCTTTTACAATAGTCACGAGATTACTTTGCTGGCACAGCAGATCAATGGTCATGAGGTAAGTACGGTAGATGGATAATTAATCCTTAGTTTCTAGGAAAAGATGCTTATCCTCAAGGAAATGCTGATATGGGGGGAAGCTACATCCCTCTCTTTAAGGGCATCATTCTTGTCTTTGGGACATTGTAAATGTTTAAAGTAGATGTACAAGGCATGCTCAACAGGCCATATCAGGCCTTTTGGAAAGACAAGATCAGGCCAAATTAGTTTTAAACAAAATAGCTTCCTCATATATTCCAATATATCCTATTGCTTGTCATTTATTCATCATTTTCATAATAAAATTTGGGGGAAAATATATTTAGATGATCCTTCTTATCTTTTTTAACTTCACAATGTTATCTTTCTATACATGCATGTTTAGGTATGTAAATGTATCCAAAAGCTGAGAAAGTTTACACACTAGAATGACAGAGGGAGGTCAAGGGTCACTTGTGCTTTATCTGTATAATTATTTATGAGAATGTATAAATGCATTAGGTATTTCTTGGCTATCAAAATCAAATAAAAAAGAATGAATTTTAAGAAAGACATAACAGGAAGTACACACTGTTCTGCCCCATGCCCCAAACACACACACACATAAAATTGAATTAAACTGCGAAGCACTGATTGAAGGAGACGGTGCTGCAAAGTTTCACATGAGATAACATGAGGCTTAGCCTGTGCCTGACACAGAGGAGGAGCCCAGAAAAGGGTTCCCACTGTTATCAGTACATGTCACTGGACTGGGTGAACTGGCGAGTGCTTTGCAGGAAGTCCTTTGTGGGAATATGAAGTCCCACAGAAGTGCTGAGTCATGGCAGAGCACACACTAGTTAGTAGCCAAATCTCTTCCCTCAGCCCTCAGGGGACCTCTGGGTTGTGGGCTGGATGGGGCTTCAAGAGACCAGACCTTTGCCCAGGCTGCCAATCTGCCAGCCCACTTCCTGACAGCCCCCTGGCACCAGCACCACTGGCCAGAAGCCCAGGGGCAGAGATGCCATTCCCTGCTTCTCATTGCCTGTACTGACCTCCAAGCTGCAGGTTCAGGTAAGCAAAAAGGCACTGGAGGTGCCTGGGTCCCAATATGGCCCTGGGATGCTACTCAATTAAACCTGGCACCAGGACTGGCTTCAAGGGCTTTTGACCCGAGTAGTTGCATGCGGTCCCACACTCGGGACTCTGCACTTGGTTTAAAGCTCCGCTTTTGCTGTCTTGAAATTCTTAGTAACTTTTTAATAAGGAATCCTGCATTTTCATTTTGCACTGGGCCTTGCAAATTACGCAGCTGGTCCTGCTGGATGTCTTCTTGTTTGGATTTATTTCTTTGAAGTGGAGACTGTGGAACATCAGGTTTTGTGGTTTATCCCCATGCAGTTTGTCAACACAAAATAACCAATAACCATTCTATAGATAAGAGAGATAAGGTGAGTTTTACTTGAGCCAGAGTGAGGACTATAACCTGGGAAGGCCTTTTCCAGAAAGGAAGAAGCATGGTTTTCTGTACAGTCTTATACCTTTTTAGGACAAAGGACATATATTAAACATGCCTGGGGTACATATTCATCAAAGTTTCAAAGAGGTATTCAGTTGCAAAATTAGCAGGTCAACATGACCCTGATGCCAGGAAAGAGACTAATAGCAGCGTTACTAATAGGGTGTAGGAGGGAAAGTAAGCTTTCTTAAGAGAGTGCTTTCTTTGCTGTAATGAGTAAAGCAGATGTACAATGTATGTTTGATAGGCCACATGAGGCTTTTTTTAGTTCAAGCGGAATCAGTATTGAATCAGAATAGTTAGCCCATATACCACACTATGTGAAAATCTCTTGTCAAATTGAAGAAAAACCTCATCTGTTATCAAAGGAATATGCACTTGGGTTCCATTTAGTAGGTATTTATTGAGTTCCTACGAAGTGCTGGACATTGTGCCAGGAGGGTGAGATACAGAGACAAAAAAATACATGGGCCAGCTCTCAGTAAGCCCTCGGTCTAATATGGTAAAGACAATTTTGCCAGTGGGATAGAGATGGGAGTGGAACAGGAGTAGTTAGCCTAGCCTAGAAGTCAGGGAGGGCTTCCTGAGGAGGTGATGGTTATGTGGAGTCTTAAGGAACGAGTAGGAGTTAGCCCTATCTCAGAGGAAGGTATTCCAGGCAAACTACAGTCTGAGCACAGACGCATAATGTTACAGGGTGTGGAGACTACAGAGGTTTATGCAAGATAAACACACAGATGGTATCTTCATTTATAAATGTAAACACAAGTAAACATAAATAAGTATTTATTAAAATAAATACATGCATCTTATGATAAAGACCAATATTTTACATAAATAAAATACACGTTACCTTGTGGGTTGTCTCCGCCACCAGATTCAGGAAAATAATACCAGTTTTAGTTTGATTTCCCTGTAACTCCAGTGCCTCGCAGATGTTTACACAACTAGTCAAGAAGCGAATATTTACGGAGCACCTACTTTGTGCCAGGGACTATTTTAGGTGCTGGAAATTCAGCAGTGAAAACAGACAAGCGCCTGCTGTCACAAATCTGACATTCCCGGGTGGGTCAATACACATTTTGCAATGAATGAATGAAAGAAAAAATGAATGCTCTTATCCAGTCAGCAGTACGTTTTCAGAAGAGGAGTGGCATGGTCATTTTTGAGTCATTTCAGTTGAACACAAGGAAATCTCACTTTTCTGTTAAAAAGAACGCACATTCGTGCAAGTAGGAGCAATCTCAAACGTGAGTCAGGCACACAAGAAGTCGGAAAGGGCCTTAGAGGGTTAAGACTCACGGATACAGATTTAATTATCTTTACGTAACACCCCGTATCTGAAGTTCAGATGTTCATACAAGATGAAGAGGTAATTTTTTTTTTTTTTTGGCTTCGAGCCGTCCAGCCTCTGCGCGTGCATTTCGCTCGTACCCGACGACCTACGCAAACTCGGTTTGCGCACGCGCGGGGCAGGCACGTCCCGAACGTCCGCCCAGCGCCGCGGGAGCCGGGACGAAACACCCGCGCCCGTGGAGGGGGGATGGCGGCAGCTCCGCTCAGAGTCGGGCCCCGTCGGCGGGAGTTCAGAAGCACTGAGGCTTGGGGTCCTTTCTCGCGGGGCGGCCGAGAAAGGGTGGCTTTGCCAGGGTGGGGCTGGAGCTGCAGGCGGGGGTCGGTGCCCTTCGCACGGTTCCACCCGCCCCCTCCACGGTGTACTCGGCTGCGAATATCGCGGTCTTTTCTGACCGTTTCCCACCTAGTACGCGGCGGAGAGGTGATGCTGGCTTGGGAGGGGATCCGTGCTGGGGGTGGGGGTGGGGGGCGAGGGGCGGGGCTGGGGCTCGCGGGCCCCCGATCTCTCCCGACCGGCGCCCCCTCGGTCCTCGGCGGTGCAGGAGCAGATCGTTCTGGGTGGGGACCCCTGGCCCAATCCTCGTCAACCTCGCGCCTTGCACGCCCCCCAGGCCTCTCCCGACCGCATTTCCTGCCCCGGCTCGCATGGCGCACCAGAAGCTGGTGGTGGTGTTTGGAGCCACGGGTAAGTGGAACCCGAGTCCGAGGCTTCACGGGCGCAGGATTCCCTGGAGTGGCCAGCCCAGAGGTCCAGCCGGCCCAGCCCCGCAGAGCCAGGGCGCCCCCCAGCGCCGGGAGACGCCCTCGGGGTGTGGAGGGAGGAGTTAGATGGCTCGCACCCCAGACTCAATGTAGGGCCTTGGGGCAGGACCTAAGCACAGATTCCCATTGAAATTTTTTATTATTATTATTATTTTGGTAAGGAAGATTGGCCCTGAGCTAACATGTGTCCCAGTCTCCCTCTATTTTGTGTGTGGAACACCACTACAGTATGGTTTAATGAGCAGTGTGTAGGTCCGCACCAGGATTCCAACCGAGAAACCCAGCCACAGAAGCAGAGTGCTGGAACTTAACCGCTACACAATGGGCTGGCTCCCCCATTGAATTTTCTTAAATTAATTACATTAACTTTTTTGAATAAGTAGTAGTTGCACATAATACCCAAATTAAAATCTCCCTCTCACCTCTTCCTTCCCCACCCATCCATCAGTTATCAAGTTCTTTGAGTATCCTACCAGACAGATTAGCTGTATCTAAATAGATATTATTTTTTAAATGGTAGCATTTTATTTTGCCCCCAACTGTTTTCTTCTTTCCTATATATATTTTTTAAATGTAAACAGCTTATTGAGATATAAATCACATGCCATACGATTCACCCATTTACAGTGTGCAGTTCACTGGTTCCTAGTGTAATCACAGAGCTCTATGACCATCACTACAATCAGTGTTACAAGATCTCATCACCCCCAAAAGAGACCCCATACCCACTAGCAGCCACTCTCCATTGTCCCTCGGCTTACCCAGACCCTGACAGCCACCCGTCTGCTCTCTGTCTCTGTAGATTTGCCTGATCTGGACATTTCATATGAATGGAATCATAGGCTATGTGACCTTTTGTGACTGGCTTCCTTCACTTAGTATAATGTTTTCAAGGTTCATCCATGTTGTAGTATGTGTCAGAACTTCATTCCTTTTTGTGGCTGAACAATACTCCATTGCATGGATAGACCACACTTTGTTTATCCATTCATCTGTTAATAGACGTTTGTGTTCTTTCCACTTTTTGGTTATTTTGAAAAATGCTGCTATGAACATTCATATACAAGTTTGTTGTTGTTGTTTTTTTTCGCTTGAGGAAGATTAGCCCTGAGCTAACATCTGTGCCAGTCTTCCTCCACTTGCTTGATGTGTGGGTTGCTGCCACAGCATGGCTGGCGAGTGGTGTAAGATCCAAACACGAACCCCAGCCACTGAAGCAGAGCATACCGAACTTAACCACTATGTCACAGGGCCGGCCCCCATGTACAAGTTTTTGTGTGGGCATATGTTTTCACTTGAGTGTATACCTAGGAGCGAAATTGCTGGATCCTAGCGTAAGTCTGTGTTTAGCATTTTGAGGAACTGCCAGACTGTTTTTCAAAGCGCCTGCACATTTTACGTCCCCACCACAACTGTATGAAGGGAGTTTAGTTTCACAATTTGCCTTTTCCACTCTAGGACATGTCATGGTCACCTGTCCAAGTCATACATACAGATCTGTCGCATTCTTTTTAATCACTTTTATGTGGACTTACCACTTATTTAACCAGTTTCCTACCAAAGAACAGTTAAGTTGTGTGTAAATTTCCACTTTTGCAAATGGTGCTATAGTCACGGTTCTTGTACGTACATATATGAATGATTTTCATTTACTTCCTTTTGATGATTTTAATTTTTACAATTTTCTTGGTATAGGTAATAAGGTAATACTTTATTAAGCTGACAGCTGAGTAGATGGGTATTGGTATCCATTTTTGTATGTGCTAAATGTTTCATAATATATTTTTTAATTTTTATAAAAGTTTAAGTGATGCCTGCTAAAACGTGGATGAACCTTGAAAACACTATGCTCAGTGAAAGTGTCACTCAGTGACACATAGTGTGTGATTCCATGTATATGAAATGCCCAGAATAGGCAAATCCACAGAGACAGAAAGTAGATGAGTGTTGCCAGGGGCTGGAGGCGGGGAGAACGGGGAATGACTGTTGATGGGTATGGATTTTCTTTTTGGGGCAATGAAAATGTTCTAAAATTGACTGTGGAAATGGTTGCACACTCTGAAGAACCGAAAGCCACTGCACTGTACACTTTAAAAGGGTGATCATTATGGTAAGTGAATTCTCTCTCAGTAACACTGTTACTTAAAAAATGCTGTAAGGTGAGTTTCGTAAGGATGACAGGAGAAAGTGTCTACGGTGTTTGCTGTGGCGGAGCATTCCCTTCTGGGCTTCACCCTTCACCCTTTGCAGGACCCCCAGGCAGGTCCGACCCTGCACATCTTTCTGACTCATTGCAGGTGCCCAGGGAGGCTCCGTGGCCCGGACGCTCCTGGAAGACAGGACATTCAGGGTTCGAGTGGTGACCCGGGACCCTGGGCAGAAGGCAGCGAAGGAGCTGAGGCTGCGGGGTGCAGAAGTGGTGCAGGGAGACCAGGATGACGAGGCCAGCATGGAGCTGGCCCTGACGGGGGCTCATGCCACCTTCATCGTGACCAACTACTGGGAGAACTGCAGCCAGGAGCAGGAGGTCAAGCAGGTGAGGGCATGCGGGAGGGTGTGGGGAGGCTGGGGCTAGGAGCTGGGCATCCTAAAGGGAGCTCCCAGGTCCCAGCTGGTTGCTGGGAGGCAGCTCTGACTTGCCAGAGAGGTGTTGACCCTGCCCAGGACCACTGACCACTGCAGACCTTTCCCCTCCTGTCCCGTGCAGACCTCCTGGACTTTGATGAGGGCAGGAGGTGATTGCTTTCTCATCCAGTAACTTTTTTTTTAGGCATCACTCGTCTACTGTACAATTTGCCCTTTTAAAGTTAAAAATTCAGTGGTTTTTAACATGTTCACAAAGTTGGGCAGCCATCACCACTGCCTAATTCCAGAACATTTTCATCACCCCAAAAAGAGACCCCATATCTGTGAGCAGTCACTCCCTATCCCCCCTCCCCCCAGCCCCAGGCAACCATTAGTCTACTTTGCCATCAAGTGACTTTTCACATTTCCTAAAAAACCAACTCTGTTGACCTGTAATTTTCTTATAATAAGATGCACACATTTTAATTGTACATTTTAATGAAATTTGAAAATAAACCCATATAACTGCCATTCCAATCAAAATATAATACATTTCCATCATTCCAGAAGTCTCCCATGTTCCCTTTCACATGTTTTGATCCCGAGATCATATGAACTCCAAATCACATGATCTGTGTTTCCCTTTATTCTGTTTTCTACCCAGATTCTCTCTAGTTAGGGGGTTATTGACTCCACGTGGCAGGGGGAGAGATATGTCTGAGATGGAAAACCATGAGACATGGCCATCTTTTTGTCACTTTGAAGATGGAGACACTGGCCCAGTGCCTGTCACATAGAAGGTGCCCAGGTATTTGTGGAAAAGGCAGCAGGCTGAGAACCATGCTCTTCCGACTCCAGCCCTGCCTCGTCCGCGGCGAGCTGCAATGTGGCTGTGGACGTGTAACTTCCCTGCTCTGGTCTTTGTTTTCTTCTTCTGAAAATAAAGGGAGATTTGATTGGACCACTGGTCTCCAGATTTGTTCTTACCCTTGACCCTTCCCTCAATTACAGTCTTACGTGGAAGCCCATTCCATAGGGTGAACGAAGACAGCTTTTCTGGTTGAAGCGGATGTTGTCTCATGATTCTGGCAGCCTGTATTAGTATCCCACGGCTGCTGTAACAAGTGACCACAAGCCAAGTGGCTTAAAACAACAGGAATTTATTTATTGTCTCATGATTCTGGAGGCCACAAGTTCAAAATCAAGGTATGAGCAGGGTCACGTCCCTCCCAAGGCTCTAGGGGAGATTTCGCTCCCTGCCTCTTCCAGCTTCTGGTGGCTGCTGGCTCTCCTTGTGGCCACATCATTCCAGTCTCTGCCTCTGTCTTCCCATGGTCTTCTCTTTGTGTCTTCTCCTCTTCTGTCTCTTAGAAGGGGACACTTGTCACTGCATTGAGAGCCCACCTGGGTATTCCAGGATGATCTCATCTCTAGGACCTTAACTTAATTATATCTGCAGGGACTCTTTTTCCAAATAAGGTCACATTCACAGCTTCCAGGGGTTAGGACGCGGAGGCCACCATCCAGCCCCCTGCACAAGCTTATGCAGCAGGTAGTGTTGCTGTCCCCGTTTAACCAGTGAGGCCAGAACTGTTAGACCCCTTGTCCTGGATCACACAGCTAGTACCATGCGGAGACGGGTCTGGAACCCAAACAGCCTGTGTGCTTAACCCCTGAGCTGTAGCTCCTCCCTAGTGGACTCTGGGGCTCTCCAAGGAAGACATCTTAGCACTGTGGACAGGGTGCTCTGCCAGAGCAGGCAGAGATGGGAAACCTCTGTGTGGGCCTTCCCCAGGCCACACACCTGCCCACCCTCAGATTGCACATGAGTGGGCCGTGGTCAAGCACAACCAAAAGTAGAACAACCCGGATGATCTAGAGAAGAGACGCTATGGTTCTGTGGGTGGTAGAGGGCTTACCATCCCATGATCAGGGTGTGGTGTCATGTATAAGTATCATTCCGGAACAGGGAGCCTTATCAGAGGGGTCCATGGTGTCAGGGCCATGACTGGGGACACACATCCTCCTTCCTAGCTTGGTGCTTTCTCCTTTCCTGCCCAGGGAAAGCTGCTGGCTGATCTGACCAAGCGCCTGGGCCTTCGCTACGTGGTCTACAGTGGCCTGGAGAACATCAAGAAGCTGACGGCGGGGAGATTGGCTGCGGGCCACTTTGATGGCAAAGGGGAGGTGGAGGAATATTTCCGGGACATCGGCGTTCCCATGACCAGCGTGCGGCTGCCCTGCTATTTCGAGAACTTACTCTCTTACTTCCTGCCCCAGAAAGCCCCAGGTGGAAAGAGCTACTTGCTGAGTGAGTGTCCTTCCTCCTTCCTCAGTGTCTGCTTTCACCATATGCAGCTGTGGGTGTCACAGAAAGCGGGCTTGTTGTCAGATGGTTCTGGGTCTGAGCCCTGGCTATCTCACATTAGGCCTGCGACTGAGCAAGCCGTGTAGCCTCACTGGGCCTCTGCTTCCTATTCTGTGCAATGGGTGTAACTTTCTCAGGGGTGATGAGAAAATCTGCCGAGGTGTGGTGAGGTGATGCTTTGTCCAGTGGAAAGCTTTCCACAGACAAGTGCAGTATCTTTACTTCTTCAGAGATAAGGAGAGGATTTGGAAGTACATAGATCAGTTGTAGATTCTACAAAGTAGGAAAGTACTTTCTTCTCAGTGCCCGTTTACAAATCTGTAAATGAGCTGGATGTCCTGGACCCCTGGCTTGGAGAGAACTTTCTGCAACTTGTATCCTGCCAATCAGCCAGTGGGTTAAAGCAGGATGCTCAGGAGGCCAGAGTGGGGGGCGGTCAGTCCCTCAGCCGGCCACCCCTTACCCTCTCTGTGAACGCCAGCTTCCCCTCTGTTGAGTCTGGCCCACCAGTGTGCAGGGTCTGGTCCTAGTGTTGGCACACTGGCACCCCTTTTATAGTTTGCAGAGCTTTATTCAGCGGACAGGGGTATCCCTTGTGTTCAGTCTGCGTTGGGGCTCCATCCCCACCAGGTGCCTGTGGGACCTCAGTGGGCAGCTGCAGTGGCCCCTTTTATAGGTGAGGACAGTGGCAGGACCCAGGCACTCCTGGCGCCACATCTAAACGCTGCTCTGCGTCTCCATCTACCAAACTGACTTGGCAGGTAGAGACACTCATAAATTCAGCACATTTCTGGAGTGCTGTTGAGTGCTGCTCTGGGCTAGGCCCTGGCCTCTGGCTAATCAAGCACTCTTGTAATTGAGTTGGTGTTTGGAATGCCACCCACAGGTTTCCACATCAGGAATCCAGGAGGTGACGAAGTACAGCAGGGTCCACGCCTCAGGAGTGGTGGGGCCCCAGGGACACCAGCCCATATCCGGGGACCTTTCAAAGCCCCTTCCTTGGGGCCGGCCCGGTGGCGCAGCAGTGAAGTGTGCACGTTCCACTTCTCAGCAGCCTGGGGTTCACTGGTTCGGATCCCGGGTGCAGACATGGCACCACTTGGCAAAAGTCATGCTGTGGTAGGCATCCCACGTATAAAGCAGAGGAAGATGGGCACAGATGTTAGCTCAGGGCCAGTCTTCCTCAGCAAAAAGAGGAGGATTGGCAGTAGTTAGCTCAGGGCTAATCTTCCTCAAAAAAAAAAGGCCCCTTCCTTTCCTGTCCCCTTTGTCCCCATCTCAGCCCTGGGAGGGGAGAGCAGGTCCGGGGTTCTTCTCCATCCTCTAAGAGTGGAGTAACAGGGCTCAGAGAGTTGAAACAGCGTGCCGAGGTGGCAGAGCTCGGATCGCATCCCAGCGCAGTTCCACTGCTGCTTCTGCTTTACACAGACACCAGGAGGTGTCCAAGTTGTGCCAAGCGCTGACCTGTGCACACGTCCAGTCAATTAGCTGGTGGGAATACCAGCTTCAACTCCTCGGAGTCACGCTCTAGCCCATCTCTCTTCCCCACCCCCCACCCAGGCTTGCCCATGGGTGACGTTCCCATGGACGGCATGTCCGTGAGCGACCTGGGTCCTGTGGTGCTCAGTCTGCTGAAGATGCCAGAAGAATACGTTGGCCAGAACATTGGGCTCAGTACCTGCAGGCACACAGCAGAAGAGTATGCCGCCCTGCTCTCCAAGCACACCGGGAAGGCTGTGCGTGACGCCAAGGTGGGCCCCTGCTGCCCCAGGCTAGGGGCTTGGTGATGGCTCAGCTCCCGCGAGGGGACTTTGGCAGCCATGGTCAGGTTGTCCTAACCCCCAGAACGGCTCTGTGGGCAGTAAGGAATGGGTATCTGGGGCTGCCCCATCGCTCTCTGAGCAAGGTACACCTGAATTCATCATCACTGTAAACGTTTATGTTGTGCTGTTCCTGGGAGCCAAGTGTGGCTGCCAAGTGAAATTTCTGGCTTACATGGTTGACCAAGTGGCAAGGAAGGTTTCCAGGAAGAGGGGACAGTAGGGGCCAAGGCAAGGAGGCACGAAAACGCAGAGTGTGCTGGGGCCCTCTGGGATGTGACTTGAGGGAGGGGAAGGGGAAAGAGGCCAAAGAGATGGGCCCCACCCCTGACCCCGTGACTTGGCCTGGCTAGGTGGGCAGGAGGCCCACGGTTCCCTCCTCTCCCTGCTGACCCTCGGCCTTCCTGTCCAGCCCCCCGGGTGCCTTGTTTCTTGTTTGTCATTCCCGTCATGAAAGTAAGACCCCCTCATTAAAGAAAATCTGGGAAACCCCGAGTTGTTACAAGAGAGAACCACGCACAGAGCCCACACCCAAGCAGAGCAATGATGGAGAGGAGGCTGTGGCAGGACACATTTTGGGCTGGTCAGACCCCAAGACTCAGATCCTGTTCCCAGCCTTTAACACCCACAAGTGTGTAACCTGGGGCACGGTCCCTGACCCCTCGCTGCCTCAGTTTCCTCATCTATAAAATGGGTGTGGCAGAGTATCCACCTCCTTGGGATGCTGTGAGAATTGAGTGGAATAATTGACATAAACGCCTCCTTAGCACGGTGAAACGCACTGGAAACTGTGCACTAAATGGCCATATATTTCTGTCTCAACACAGAATGGCCCGAGGCAGGTCGTAGAGGATTTGAGGAGCTGAGGAGTTAGGATTGAGTTTGGTCGGGAAAAGGGAACAGCTTTGGCTTTTGAGCATGAAAGTGACGTGAGCAGAGTTCTGACTTAGAAGGGACTGAGAAGTTTTCATCTCACGATCTTGAAAGAACAGGATTTAAACTGACCTACAACAGTGGTTTTCGAACTTTCATCTCTTTAGTAGAACATTTTTAGATGAATTCTCAGCGAGGCCCTCAGTGCCAGCAAGGTGCCAGCAGTGCAGCTCTGGTTGTGGGAGGTTGGGAGGCCCCAGCCCCCAACGCCTCAGGGCACTGAGGTGCTGACAGATCCTAACAGACACCCCTCTGCTTCCAGACAACTCCTGAGGAGTATGAGAAGCGTGGCTTCCCTGGTGCCCAGGACCTGGCCAACATGTTCCGTTTCTATGCCCTGAAACCCGACCGCAACATCGAACTGACCCTGAGGCTTAACCCCAAGGCCAGGACGCTGGACCAGTGGCTGGAGCAGCACAAAGGGGACTTTGCTGGACTGTGACCTTGCCCACCTCTCAAACCTGTCTGGGGGGACTGGAGGCACAGTCACTGTGATCCTTTCTTGTTACAAAAAAATTATTTTTTAAATAAAGGCCATTGTTCTCACAGATGGCTTCCAAAAGAAGAGGGCTTTGTTTCTGGAACTGGGGTTGGGGTGGCAGCTGCTGGGGCAGCGACAGGCATGAAAATTCCAAGGGGAGTCATCAAGTGGTGAAGGCTCAGTACCCCGACCCTGCAACAAAGGAGGCTCGATGGCCGAAGAGCATTTAGTAACTGAAGACGCATGACTGATAGGCGATTTTAAGTTTAGTCCAACAGGCGTGAACCAGAGCACTGTGACCACAGCCCAGGGAGCAGCTCTGACCACCCTGTTTGCACATTTGAAATTCACTCACAGACCGTGGACAGAGCCCAGGGCACAGGGAGGACTCCCCACGCCAGCCAGGAGCAACGCCTTTTGACATCCCTGCACACAGCGCCCTCATCTCCAGAAAGCAAGTGAGGCCAATGGCGTAGTCCTTCTTTGAGTTTGAGAGCAGGATGACTGGCCCCTTCTCCCTTCCTCTCTCCTCACTCTCCTCCTGGGCCGGGCCTGCCTCCAGGTGCAGCCCCAGGATGTGGGTGATCTTCGAAACAGGCTGGAAAAAAACGCATGAAGGAACGTGGCAGCTCTGTGGACCACAGGTCGCCATAATCGGACACTGCTGAGAAAAGGTGAGCTGCTCACAGCAAAGGCTGAGAAGTAAAACCAAGGAAGTAACAACCCTCCTTGTTTGTAGTGTCCACCAGGCTTTCAGACGGCAGGGGTGGTTCAGCCTCCCATCTCCCACTCATTCTAGAGAAGAGGAATGGAGGCCCAGAGAACACAGGTCACTCGCCCGAGGTTCTGAGGCAGCCTTATTTTTTTTCTCATATGGAGTTGTGTAACCTCCATCTTTTTACTACCCCACCCTGGCCTCCATACCCACAGTCACAAAAAGGAGTAGCAGTCCTACCAAATTCATTCCATCCATTCATTCATTGCAAAAGCCTATGTTTGACAACTTAACGGTGTGCTGGGCCCTAAATACAACGTTAACCAAAAAAGTGATGCTCCCTGCCTTTGAAGAGCTTAGTTTTTAGCAGGAAAGCCATGAAACATGCAATGAATGATTATAGATTGACACAAGGGCTGCAGAGAACAGGAGGGACAAATAACAATTGGAGGAGGGGCTGTTTTAGGGGGATGGGGACAGCCTCTGAGATCTGAGGGGAGGGCAGCGAGCCTGCCAGGCAGGGTAGGAGGAGAAAGACTGAGACAGTGTGGGCTTCTGAGCCCACCCGGGTCAGCAAGAGAACACAACAGGTCATCTGCGTGCAGCCGTACATGAAGCCCAAGTTCCCCCAGACCCCAGAGTGGGAAACTCACCTATCCGGGACTGTGACTCTGCCTTGATCCTAGAATGGCCCACGGTCAGTACTGAGCCTGGGAAGAGCCCAGAGCGAACTTCAGCGAGCCGACACTGGGCTCCAGCCACTGCTCACCCACAAGTGGCAGGACCTGGGCACATCCCCAAGCCTCTCTGGTCTGCTTGCTCATCTGGTGCCGCCTGGCCAGGCTGTTGTGAGGATGCCATGAGGTCATTTGTGCCAAGCAGTGTCTGACACCCCCAGGTCATCTTCTCCCTTCTGACACATGTAGTCCAAGCTCTGCTAGCCTCTGGTCCCCTTCAGCTGCTTTCTGTCTCTCCTTCTAAAGGGTGGTACCACCGGCCCCATCCCGGATGTGGTCGAAGCAGCCCATGTCCCAAATCCAATGAAGTGGAGAGAACCATGCACATCAATTTAGGATGCCCCTGGGCTATGAACCATCCACACTGTACACAAAAACCCAATTCTGGGCAGTGAAATGACTGTATAAATAATGGTGGATACGCATCAGTAGACATCTGTCCAAACCCACAGAATGTACAGCACCAAGGGCGAACCCTCATTAATCTGTGGACTTTGGGTGATGATGACGAGTCAGTGTAGGTTCATCGGTTATGCATGTGTGGGGGCAGGGGGTATATGGGAAATCTCTGCACCTTCCTCTCAATTTTGCTGTAAATCTAAAATATAGTCTATTAAAAAGACAACAATCCTAGTATTTTAAACCAATTTACTTGTAATAGACATTCCTGTCCACCCACTTTCCTTTCCTTGTCTCTTGGTGATAACCAAGTGTGACTGGAAAAAAAGGCCCTTTGCCCACCGCACTGAAATCAAGGTGTCCTGCCTGCCCCAGGTGCTCCTGTCCCAACACATCACTACAGGAAGAAGCACGTGTGGGTCACACAGCGCAGAGTGCTGGGGAGTCCGGTCCAGCGCCACATGGAGGGGATGACTCCCAGCACACCATCCCAGTCAGATGCACCTCATGTGCCTCATCTTCTGAAATTTGGTCCCTGAAATATGTGAGCTGCCAACGTTTATTTTTACTTTTTTTAAACTGGGGTAAAATGTACATAACATAAAATTTCCCATTTTAGCCATTTTTAAGTGTATAGTGCAGCAGCATTAAGTACATTCACCACCATCCTCTCCATAACTTTTTCATCTTTCCAAACTGAAACTCTGTCCCCATTAAACACTAACTCCCCATTCCCCCTCCTCTGGCACGTGGCAGCTATATTCGCTGAGCTAGACTATTCTAAGTACTTCATTTAAGTAGCTGCCAACATTTTAAAATGAGACAACATTCACAACAACATTTTTTCTCTTTTTTTGTGGAAGATTAGCCCTGAGCTAACATCTGCTGCAATCCTCTTTTTGCTGAGGAAGACTGGCCCTGGGCTAACATTCATGCCCATCTTCCTTTATTTTATATGTGGGACGCCTACCACAGCATGGCTTGCCAGGGAGTGCCATGTCCGCACCCGGGATCTAAACTGGCAAACCCCAGGACGCCAAAGTGGAATGTGCACACTTAACCGCTGTGCCACTGGGCCACCCCATACAGCAACATTATTGACAACAGCCAAAAAGTGGAAATAACCCAAATGTCTATCAATGAGTGAATGGATAAAAATAATCTATCCATATAATGGAATATTATTCAGCCATAAAAAAGTAAGTGCTCATAGGGGCCAGCCTGGTGGTGTAGTGGTTAAGTTCTCATGTTCCACTTCAGTGGCCCAGAGTTTGAGGGTTTGGATCCCAGGCAGAGACCTACACACTGCTCATCAAGCCATGCTGTGGCTGCATCCCACATACAAAATAGAGGAAGACAGGCACAGATGTTACCTTAGGGCCACTCTGCCTCACAAAAAAAAAAAGCAAGCGCTCATACAGGCTACATGGATGAACCTTAAAACATTATGCTAAATGAAAGAAGCCAGAAAGAACCACAAAAGGCCACGTACTGTATGATTCCATTTATATGAAATGTGCACAATAGGCAAATCTATAGGGACAGGAAGTAGATTCATGGTAGCCAGAGAATGAGGGAGTTGGGGGGAAATGGGGAGTAACTGCTAATAGACATGGGGTTTCTTTGTGGGATGATAAAAATGTTCCAAAATTGATTGTGCTGATGGTTACACAACCTTAAGCTGAAACCACTGAATTACACACTTTAAGTGGGTGAATTGTATGGTAGGTAAATTATATCTCAATAAAGCTGTTACCCAAAAAATGAGGTAACTGAAATCCCCACATGAAAATCTAAATGCCCAGCTTCTCTTGGAAAGCACCAGAAGATCTGGCAGCGCTGGCTCTGACTTCCTGTGTAGCCCTCTTGGCTAGAGCTGAAGAGCAGCAGTCTCCTTTAGACAGGGGAGCCAGTCTCTACCACTCCCTACTGTCTCTTGGGCAACGAGGCTGCAGGTCAGTCAGTGCCCTTGGCACCTGACTTTGGACCCACTTCCCTTTTTTATGTAAAGTTTCTGACTGGCCCATTTGTGATCCTCCTTCACGAGGATCAAGCCAAATAAGCAGAACTTTTGGTTAAAAGATATAAAGTGTGTGGGGGTGGGCAAAACGGGTTAAAGGGGCACATATGTACGGTGACGGACAAAAATTAGACGACTGGTAGTGAGCACGATGACATATATTCAGAAATTGATAAATAATAATGTACACCTGAAACTACACAATGTTATAAACCATTATCTCAATAAAATTATTGGGAAAAAGAACAGATACAAAGTGTGGATTTCATAGTGTTTATTAACATACAACAGCGCTAAAACGTGCCTTCTGCAACAGCCGTGACTGCTCGTATAACTCAGTGTTCAGTGATGGGCTCCAGCGTCGCAGAGCAGAGTGAAGGGCAGGGGTGGTCCCTGGATGCAAGGGAGCCGGGAGGCTTGTGGGACTGGAGAGGATTCTTGTACGTTGAAGGGGCTTTTCGTGACAGGGAAGGAAGCAAGACCAGCCACCAGAACCCAAAGGCCTGAGGAGAAGGGTAGCTCAGGTTGGAAACAAATCAGAGCAGAGACCTACAGGCCAGGAGGGAGCCAAGGTCCAGGGCAAAGTCGGTCCCATCCACATGTGACTGCGCTGTCCCTAGCCCACCCTCCCTGATAGTTCTGCAAATGCTGAGCACCTGTCTCCCTTCCCCTCCTCTCAATCCCCAAAGGCCCAGGGGCCCAGAGATACTTTTTTGTATTCTTAAATGCCTCATCTCACGCTCCTAACTCAGAGGCTGCAAAGCAGTCTGGTGACAAATGCCTCAGGAGCCACCTGTGGGAATAATCCCAGGCTTGAGTAGGGCTTGATTCTACAGCTGTTGCACTGCCACCTTCCGTCCACCCAGGAAAGGACACCTCAGCACAGCAGTAATGGTGCCTCGCTCGCAAGAAAATCCACCTTTCTCTTTCAAAATCTTCCCAACTTCTGCTTTTAACACAGGACAGGAATGGGACTTGGGTTGACTTCTCCAGGAAGGAAACCTAAGCTGCCAGGAAAGAAGCCATCTAGCTCCCCACTGCTGTGCCCAGGATCGAGGGTCGAGCCAGGCCCCCACTCAGGGTGCACCGTTCATTATACAGATGTTGCTGAATGAAGGGAAAGTATGGAAAGTGGTGGGAAGTCACTGCTGAGCCCCGTTCTTGCCCATCTGGTCCTTCCCAACCTCTTCACCCAACCCCCTGAGTGCTC